TCCATTTAAGCCAAAAACTGCTGTCTTGACCTCTTCTAGTGTTGGCTGTTTAATCAATTCTTCATTTTGTTCTGTGTCTATCAAAGATGGCACCTGATTGATAATATCAAATGATGAGGGTACTGAAGATTCTGTGAATTGATCCTTAAAGAATTCTATTGCTTCTGCAGCTATCTCTTCATCTTCTTCTACCCAAGCACCCTGCCTATTCTGAATTCTTGAAATTTGCAACTTCTTTCTCCTGCTTCTAACTTGAGCATGGAAGAATTTAGTATTCCTGTCACCTTCCTTGAACCAGGCCATGCCTGCCTTCTGCTTCCAATACTTCTCTTCTAATGCTAGAACTTTGTTCAATTCAGCCTGTACTTTTTGCAATCTTTGCCTATTGTGTTTTGTAGGATTAACCTCAAATTCTGCTTCATGCACACTAACCACCTCCTCCAAGCTAGCTACTTTCTGAAAAATGTCTCCAAAAGTTGTTTTGCTCCACACAGATAAAGCCTTCTTCACTTTCTTTAACTTATGATAGAACAACACATAGGGATTTGCACTGAAATCTGCATTCCAGTTCTGTTGTACCACTTCTTTGAAAGATGCATGATCCACCCAAAAATTTAAAAACCTGAATGGTTTCTTTATTGGGGGATTCTCTATATCACACTTAAGTTGCATAGGAGAATGATCTGACCCTGTCTTGGACAAATGTTGGACTTCAATACCTGGGAAAGTCTGCTGAAATTCTGCATTTGCCAGACATCTATCTAATCTTTTGAAAATACATTCTTCCTCTGCCCTTCCATTCCACCATGTGAACATACTGCCTTTAAAACCAAGATCTGTCAGATTACAAGTGTTTATGCAATGCCTAAAATCATCAATTTCATTTAGATGTACTGGAAGCCCTCCAAACTTTTCCTCCTCATCCCATATTACATTAAAATCACCCCCTACCAACCATGGGATAGTCATATCATTAGCCATGTAATACAAAGAGTCCCACAGTTCAATCCTCTCTATGGCATCACACTTAGCATATACCAAAGTAAGAACAAATTCCACATGAGTCTCTTTGTGATAAAGTCTAATGGATAACTGCTGAACCAAATTATACAATATTGTGACCTCATATATCTCATCAATGAAAACCCATATTTTGTTTGAAACATTAGCAATAGCTTGTGCAAAACCAATCCTATTTCTGTACCTTTCCAGTGTTCTAGCTTGTTGCATAGGCTCCATTAGTCCAATGAAGTCATAATGGTTCTTTTTATGTAATCTGATCAGCTTCTCAAAGGATTGTTGAGTATTGACTGACCTTATGTTCCATATAAGAGCATCCATCACTGTTTAGATTGGGAAAGGGATAGATTCCTCCTTGTTTGAACTCCTCCTGTATGGACAGTAGGATTTTCTTTCTGTTGTTTCTTCTTTCCTTTTGCTGCTGCTTTTGT